AAATTTTGACAATCTTGTCCATGATTTATCAAATATTTGTAGAGTATTACAAGATTATGATGATACATAATTAATGTCTATAATCCGGGTACTGTAGATTCAGAGAATACATATTTATTACATAAGTCTGTGTAAAATAAGTGATTTCCATTTCAAACCCATTTTAACTGCAGGAGCATCATACAATTTTATGCATTTAGTTTAACACTAGAAGTTTGTATTGTGTTTTCTTAAACAAATCAGTCTATAAACCCGGGTGGCTCTATGAGCAAGATTCATTTAATATGTTAAAGACACAAGATGATAGTACATGCTTAGTATCTATGTTCTATGCTCTGTGCATTTTGCTTTTTGAGAAGACTTTTTAAACATTTTTACTATGTAAAATCTATGTACACAAAGTGACGCAAAGAGCGCTTTATGTAACTTTTAAAGAGGTCTTTTTGCCGCGTTGGGCTTTCTTTAGGGATTCTTATTTCACTCTATTTTCTGCTAGACAATGTAACATACCGGTATGTTGAATATCTAAGTTCTATGCATTGTAGATCTGCAAAAGAGGACTTACATGTGATTTCCTATATAAGTATTTCAAAACTAAGCGCCCCTTCTGGCAAGCCTTTTAATCATGCTCCTGCAGTCTAAAATGGCTTTCCCTGGTATGTAACTTATGTTTGCATAGACTTAAAACTGCCTTAAAAATCTTCTCTGTAACTTAAGTTTACAGAACAGAAAAATTATCATGAAACATTACTTTGTGATACCTCTATAAAAATTATAAATTATTGGCATAGGACCAAATCTCTAAGTTTAAATGGACTCATATAGGAATAAAACAATATGAGTATTTGTGTGAAACAGTTCTGAGTACCTAGATATTGGGCATGTTTCCTGTAAAGCAACCTTTACAAATACGTGTAGTTCATAAATCATAACTGTATGTGGTGAAAAAAATTGATACTTCTAACATGATCTTATCTTACTTCTGTATTAAAGAGTTATGGCAATTTTCCTGCAGTGGATCATAGGCGAGTGGTCTAGGATTGTTTAATGGGAAACATGAAACTTGAATAATCTTTGACAGACAGTTAATTTATATTTTAAATCATCAGCAACTATATGTGGGTCAAGCGATACTATTGATATACATATTAAACTACACATAGATCATATGATGTATCAGTCGCCTTAATTTTACTTTGTATCTTTTGAAAATACCATGTCTAGATATGTTATTCTATAAACAGTGCTGATTCAATTATACTTAATTACAATGATATGAAAGTAGATATAACTTTGAATCGTACTGTAACAAGCCTTCAGTAAGACTATGATATCTCATGCAAAATTCATTTTTTCATTGTGTTGGCTTTAAAGCGATTTTTATCTTTTTCGTAATATATGTTGTGAAGGAATTAATTTTATTCGTAAATAAGACAATATTTAACGCATGTTTTGTTGATGTATATTCAGTCTACTATCGTTACAATTAACTGATAATATTAAGAATATTGAAACAAGTTATATCTTGCAAACAAATTTTATAACTGACTGTATACACATGAATGTATGTGCATTTACTGATATTTTAGCACACCCTCTAGGCCTGAATGAAGACAAAAATTTCTTAAGAACCATAACTTTTTAACAGTGAATATTTTCCTAAAAATTCGTAGAAAGTTTAACAAAAATAAAAAAAATGAAATTAACTTACAAACTTTGTTGTTTTTGTTTTTCAATTATCAAATAAATTTACCCAACCCACTTTGACAAAATATATAACCTACAGATTTTATGCTTACAATAAACACAAAATATTAATTAAATATTATATACACTAAAAGAAACTAAGTAACTTTTTGAGTTTTACACAACGACCTATTAGAAAACCATGTTAGAGAAATATGCAAATATTAGCACTTTTTCTTTAGTATTTTTAAAGATATTTTTTGGATAAATAACTTAAAAAGTTTGACTTACATTCTGGTTTACATAATAATATGATTATTCTTGATATGTTTAAACACTTTTTATCGAAATTTGTATAATTTGTGATACAAATTATATGACAAAAGAGATATATTAATTTTTGCATAAAATCGGCAGCCATATTCGACGCCATCTTGAATTCTGAAGAAGTATGAACGCGGAATTTGTTCAAGATTTGAATTTTTGTAAAGGAGAACCTTTATACATGCTTAAGTGTAAGTAATAGGTCTGTACAAAAAAATCACTGAATGCGCTATTATGAACGTCAAATTTATAGGCGGCCATTTTGAAATGGCGGCCATCTTGGATGAGCAGAGATATTTTTGGGCCCACTTCACTTTTGGAATGTCTATAGTCTAAAGATGATTTCCTGAAAGTTTCATGCTTGTATCACAATTTGCACTATTTTGACAGGAGAGACCTTATTTCCCGCTCCACTATTATATAAACATGTTATGCGGAATTTTAAAATTTAAATATTTTGATATGACGAAAAGCAGGAGAAAAAATGATTTGAAAAAAAATTTTCGCGATTATATTTGATCATTGATATATAGTTACTAAGTATATATGTACCGTTTTTTGTGGGAAACGAAGGATATTGAATTAAAGGATAATTATATCAAATGTAAAAAAATATTTCAAATGAAAAATACTGCAGTTTACATTGTTTTGGAGAGGTAGGGGGTTGTAGAGTGGGTAAAAGGGGGAGGGGTAGTACCCCTCCCCTTTTTACCACCGTAGTAACCAATCAACGCACCGAACATCTGTATGTTCAAATCTTTTCTTTAAATAATAAATTGTTTTCAATGCACGTGTATTTCGTGCCCCGCGTTTAATACAATTCAAATGAGATTTTGTGCTACACATAACACAATGGCTTACTACGAGCACGCAAAAGCGGTTATTTAGCGAGTTTTGAAGTTTCCTTCTTACTACATGTATTCGTTTCATGTACATACGACAAAGATAATACTATAGCTGACCTTCAAGAGAAGATTGTATTTGATGCTGGAGAAGTTCACTTGCTAGGTGTTGTTGAAGAAGTTGGGATTCAGTTGGAAGCGTTGTAAACCGAAAACGAGGCTGCTCATGGAAAGACAAGATCTTGTTTCTTGACAGGATTCGTTTTCTTGGCCAAATAAAGAAAGTGACTTCAAGATGATGGTAGACTGATCGTGTATGTGGACGAGGTAATATTTTACACTCAACGAAAAATTGCTGGCAGTCTGACGGAATTATTGTGAATCCGTCGTTTAGTAAAGGAGAGCGGTTGATTGTTGTTCACGCTGGATCTGTCTCTGGGTTCGTCTCCGGAGTCAAGCTCATTTTCAAAGCGAATTCCTCAACAGGAAATTACCACGGAAAAATGAATGGCGAATTGCTTAATCAAAAGCTTATCCCGATCTTCCAACACACAGTGTCTTAGTGATAGACAATCGACCTTATCACACCATTTAATTTGCGATGGTAAGTTTCCGACGAAGTCATATACAAAAAGTGTGCTTGCGTCCTGGTTACAACGCCTTAACATACACTTCAGCCAAAACATGCTCAGGACAGAATTGCTAGATCTATGTCAGAAACACAAGCCAGCAGAACCGATTTATCGTACGGGTTCAATTCTTAGACAACACAGACACGAGTGTGTTAGGCTTCCATCGTACCATGCAGACCCTAACCCAATCGAATGGATATGTGCCAATATAAAAGGAAAGGTTGCCGCAAAGAATCTAACCTTTTAGTTAAAGATGTGTGGGCTCTTGTGGATAATGCCATCGGGGACATCACCGTTGATGACATCAAACATGTGGAGGCCGTAGAGAGCAGGCACCATGCATCCGACATCCCCATCTATAGGGATATGGGCAGAACATGCTTCATGGTTGATTCATCAGATGAAGGCACGGCTACAGCCAGCGAGGGGGAGTACTCCGGTACGACTGACAGCGCCGGCCCGACTGAAAGTGACACAGAGTCTGAACTGAATTGAACTTATTATACTGTATATGCTATATACCATTCTCGTTAATAAAATATTAGATCAATATATTTATATAAAAATAAATAAATAAATAAATAAGTGTTTACTTTTATATTTAGGATTTCCTATTCTCGATCATTTTTAATCAACAATGCGACAGTGTTGTGCAAATGTTACTGATAATATACGAAGTATGACCTTTGATACTGATTGATATCAATCTTATCTGTTACCTGAGAGTGATCTTATTTTTTCTGTCCGAATGTTACAGTAGCGATCTTGCAATCATCGGCAGCATCGAAAATACATTTCTGCAGGCAGCATTTTTTCTTCGACCGAAATAGTTTTAACGCCTGTTACATTCTCAAGGAAAGACACAATGGGTTGATGTTTGGCAGTGACCATATGATTGTGTGTTTGTAACAAGAAATCATTATATTTATTTCAAAATAGAGATATTTTGCACGAATAATAATAATAATAATAATAATAATAATAATAATAATAATAATAACAATAATGATAATAATAACAATCTTTCACTGTTGTTTTTTTCGGAGCTTCCATTTATTACCCCCTCAAAATATTTCATTGGGGAAACGAGTCTAAAAGTACCTGGTAATATACCTAGTCAATATAGCAATGAAATAGTCCTTTTTTGCGTAATGTAAATATTAATCAGTATTCTTTTTAGATTTCTGTCATCACTGCAACAATCTGCCAATCACTGGCGCCGGTTATACGGTGTGATATTACAGTTTAAGTTGATTTGATTTATTTTTTCATAGTTTGAAAACATCCGTAATTACTAGTAATATGTAGAGCATTGTAACCAAGACATAATAAAGGTCTCATTTGCGGGCAGTTAATTTACGTTTTTATAACGCACCTGTTTGTTTTGTTACGTTAACGGATGTAAAATATGACGTCGTCCTTAAATAAAAACACTCTTAACAAATACATTACTCTTTAATTAGATTACCGCAGAGACGTGTGTTCGGTTATAGTATAAAAGATGTAAAAATCTTTTCTAATTATCATTTTTATTTCAGTTGTAGGGAACGTATGTTATATAGTTGGTTTTTTTTTATTAAATATCTTTGTTGAAGAACGCACGTAGTTTTTTTGTGTTTTTTCCCATATTCTTTCGAGGATCAATAGAATATGAAATCGTTAGCTTTTATTATTCTGTTATTTGGATATATGGTGATAGCAGATGGACAGTATGTTGGTCGCACAAGACAACCACCTTTACCGGATAGATGTGCGAGGGTGTTCTGTCCTCGGACAAACTGTATAAAACCAATAACACCGAAAGGAGAATGTTGCCCAGTTTGTCCACCAACGTTACCACCTTTTTGCGCCGCCGTTTCTTGCGCCATTCCAGACTGTTTAAATCCAGTTACACCGGAAGGCGAGTGTTGCCCGGTTTGTCCACCAACGTTACCACCTTTTTGCGCCGCTGTTTCGTGCGTTATTCCAAACTGCCTAAATCCGGTAACACCTGAAGGAGAATGTTGCCCGGTTTGTCCACCAACGTTACCTCCAATATGTGATAGAGTAAGGTGTGTTCGTCCAAACTGTGTGAATCCTGTGATACCGGAAGGTGAATGTTGCCCAGTCTGTCCACCAACGTTACCTCCAATATGTGATAGAGTAAAGTGTGCTCGTCCAAACTGTGTGAATCCTGTGATACCGGATGGTGAATGTTGCCCAGTCTGTCCACCAACGTTACCTCCAATATGTGATAGAGTAAAGTGTGCTCGTCCAAACTGTATAAACTCAATAACACCGAAAGGAGAATGTTGCCCAGTTTGTCCACCAACGTTACCACCTTTTTGCGCCGCCGTTTCTTGCGCCATTCCAGACTGTTTAAATCCAGTTACACCGGAAGGCGAGTGTTGCCCGGTTTGTCCGCCCACGTTACCACCTTTTTGTGCCACAGTTTCCTGTGTTATTCCAAACTGCCTAAATCCGGTCACACCGGAAGGAGAATGTTGCCCAGTTTGTCCACCAACGTTACCTCCAATATGTGATAGAGTAAGGTGTGCTCGTCCAAACTGTGTGAATCCTGTGATACCGGAAGGTGAATGTTGCCCAGTCTGTCAAGGTAAGCAATAATAATTATCTTAAACATTTGTCGCAACAATTTTTAAAGTAGGCCGCTTCCTGTAAAGAAATAAACACTGCTTTTATTTAAATTGTTATCAACTAATTAGCAAAGTAATGTATTAAACTTAAATGCTGAACAGTGAAAAATTTAATCTTAAAAAAGACTGCAGCCAGTATCGCTGTCATACATTTTAGATCAATGATATGTGTTGTTTTTTCACAGTCTATTGTTAAATGTCAGACATAGTTTTTTTTTAAACTTTTGTTTCAAGTAAACATTAAATTGCCTCATCTATCATGGCATTTAAGTTTTTATCGCGTATGCATGCATGTACATGCAATAAAGATAATAAGATTGGACTCTTTTATTATTTGTTATATAAATGGAATATTTTAAAGAAAGAAAAACACCGTGCATATTGAAAATGCAAGAAGTACCGGTAGCCAATAATCATATTTTAATATCAGTAGTATTTCTCTTTTTCAGGCTTAAAACCAGGCAGATGCCCTCGGGTCTCTCAATTCGGAATATGTGTGAATGAATGTACAGGCGACTTCAGTTGTCCTGGTAACCAAAAATGTTGTAGCAATGGATGTGGACGCCAATGTAGGCGACCAAGAGGTTTGTACATTTGTTTGAATTACATGAAAATCATGTCGATATCATATCAACATAATACATATGAGCCGCGTCACGACAAAACCAACATAATGGGTTTGCGACCAACATGCATCCAGACCAGCCTGCGCATCCGCGCAGTCTGATCAAGATCCATGCTGTTTGCTTACAAACCCTATAACAAGTAGTGAAACTGATAGCGAACAGCATGGATCCTGATCAGACTGCGCGGATGCGCAGGCTGGTCTGGATCCATGCTGGTCGCAAACCCATTATGTTGGTTTTGTTGTGACGCGGCTCATATTTTCATATTATGTTAATATTGCATTAAACTAATTTTTGGTTTTAGTTCGTTACGTTCGTGACATAAATTGTAGATAACATATGACTAACTAGTATTCCTTCAGGCAACATTCATTGAAGCACGATTCCCTATTACAATGCTTATACATGTATGTCTCAGTGGCGGAGTAGTTACATAATGTCCCTGACTGCAACTCACATGCCCCCAGGATATCGTAAATTGACATTATAAGCAAAGTTAGAAAGTGAAATTTTGGTTAGTTTATTAATTAGATCCACCTGAGTTGCGTGATTTGATCCGTAATATCACAGTTTTGAATATCGTACATGCTACTTGTCCTGCTATAAAATTTGGAACACGTGGCTTTGAATACCACTTGGTCATGCAAGGGATCTAACGATGAATAAATGCACGAGATTCGTACACATTTAAAATGGTCATATGATCTTTATGATTCAAAACGCAACGAATGGAATACATGACAACTGATAGAAACACGAGACTTCAATTAAAAATAACCTATACTTATAAAAAACCGTTCAAAATATTCAGCTTTAAGAGTAAATATTTTGACAATTGTTTGACCTATTTTGAAACTTTACCCGCCATAATACATATGTTTGTTATTAATAAGTGTCTTTCATTTTTACTGGATACAGGGAGGTGCAGTCGAGTCCAGTGTCCTCAATTAAGGTGTGCCAATCAGTATACGCCACCTGGACAATGCTGTCCAATATGCAGACCAATAGGTAATTTACTATTAAAAATTTTAATTTTGTAACTCAGTTTCTTGGAAAATATGTTGCATTACCGATGTATGCCTCTAAACATAGGCACCGTAAGTTTTGAGGTCACGACCTCTCACATTCATCAAAACTGCTTAATTTGAAAGGCAGACATAAGAATGATTCAAATGAGGTGAAAGCTCTTTTCATAGTAGAGCGAGTTTAAATTAAACTCTACTCACGTTTTTCGAGTAGACGCTATTTAATGTCTTAAATGTAATCATTATTCACTAAGGCGCTTTTCTTATTAAAACTCAAAGACTATGCTAATTGAACTTTAAATTTTAAGCAAAACAAATGAGCCGTGTCATGACAAAACCAACATAATGGGTTTGCGACCAGCATGGATCCAGACCAGCCTGCGCATCCGCACAGTCTGATCAGGATCCATGCTGTTCGCTATCAGTTTCTCTACTTGTTATAGGGTTTGTAAGCGAACAGCATGGATCCTGATCAGACTGCGCGGATGCGCAGGCTGGTCTGGATCCATGCTGGTCGCAAACCCATTATGTTGGTTTTGTCATGACACGGCTCAAATCATGCTGTGCAACACCTACTCGGTTTGATTGGGCTATCTCAAATATAAAAAAGAATAGAAGAAGGAAATGCACATTTAAAATAGCAATGGCCATAATTTTTTGGTATACACAAATAAATAAGTTTGAGATTTCAGTGACCGCATCATCATCATGGTTGTGTGCTGTTTTATGCTTTTCTTTTCTTTTATTTCCCAAATACATTGCGAACATACCGGATTTTATATAGTATTATTCAGTATTTACAATCACTATCAGTTGTTTCAAATCATCAACTTTTTGCTGGAAGTTAAATATAACTATTACTTTTTTTTATATAACTTTATAATTCTGTAACTCTTATTCCTCTGGAACCGATGATGACAAGCCTTTGCCACATGCGTAGAGAAGTCTGACCGAGTCTCTGTACTGGTTGTGGCTTTATTTTTGTATTTGGATCGGTTTGAAATCCCTTGAACTTTTAAAGGAGAGTTCCAAATCCAAAGCAGGGCAAACTTACATAAATTCAGCAGGTTAAGGGTTAAGCGTTTCTGTGAAAATCATATGAACTTTTCTATATTTTTTACAGAGAACGAATGCAACCTTGTAGACTGTAGACCAATATCATGCCTGAATCAGTATACACCACCAGGCCAATGTTGTCCTGTCTGTAGAAACACAGGTAATACCAACTACACTATACTTTAACAAACAAATATCATCATGTCCACAAGTGCATGCTATAAGTTTATTTATACTCATACACACGCCGCCAACGGAAACCAAATTCAGGTGACTTACTCCTGAAGACAAGCAGTAAATCTACTTTGTGAAATTTATAGAGCAACTGGTTGAAAGAAAAACAAGAGTCATTAACAAAATCAACTAGTTGTTTCAACACACATGCTGTAAAGTGCCAAGTCACAAAACTTTGGTTTTTAAAGTATCGTACTTCCTCTATACCCGGTGTTTTCTATATGGACTCGTATACTTGTTACGTATAATTATTAGATAAATAAGTCCCGTACACTCCCGTATATGTTGAAAATACGGGACCGTTTATTCCTGTACATAAGTGTATTTTGCGCAGTGCGTCCGGTTAGCTAGATTACTATTTTAAGATTCAAGTTGGAGAAACGAGTGCTCAAGCTCGTAATGTAATGACTTGTAGACACTGGACCATTTCATCTACAATCACGCTTTCATTGTGATAAACATAATTATAACATATAGTGTGTTGTGCATTTGTTGGGTTTGAAATCACATTTCAGCATGTTGAATATTGACATACTGTCATAGAAATGTCTAAGAAACTCTTACAATTATCATTTTAGACTTCTTCTTACATGTATCAGGCTTATGTAATTATTTCGGACGTTTAAAAGCTGGATAGACCCTGATGACTATCAAAGTAATATTGCGAGTTCCTGTTAATACTAATATGACGTAATTCAAAACTTTAAAAACATCTAATTGTTTTTTTTTCTTGTTGGTGTTTTTTTTTTCTTTTTTAAAATAAGTCAGATTTCTTGATATTTATTTCATTTCAGGACCTGACTGCAGAGGAATAGTATGCACAGCCCAAAACTGCGAAAACAAGTACATCCCACCCGGCCAATGCTGCCCGGTTTGTCAAAATGACACATACTAGCAGACACCTACGATTATTCGGAGCACCTCGCAATTTAACAAAACCGTTCCTAATCAGTCGGACGGAATTGGACTTAAAAGTTCCGATTAAATTAACGATAACGAATTCCTGTATCTTATTAAATTGATACACTTTGTTTTTCTCGGTGATACATTTTATTAAGCAACACTTGTTGTTACCATATGCATTTTTTAATAAAATAAAATTGTTTATTTATAGTAAGATAATTTGTTATATTTGCTTTCAATGTTTTTATTTAGTTACATAGTCCTTGAAATTCTGTTTAGTGTTGGCTCTATGTTTTTGAGTCAGTGTTCAAGTTTTTCGATTTTATTTAATTGAACTGTTACCTATCCATTTCAATATGGCTAAAACGGGCTCATACACAAGGGTTGCAGGACTGAAAGTTTTGCATCTTGGTTATCCGATGAGTTTAGATTTCGTATCCATGACAATCAGAGAATGCTTCCTATATTTAATAATAAATCTATATATAAAATCATAGTAACAGGGGCCCATCGCACTTCAAAAACGTTCGTTGCTATAACAAGAATATATTGAACCGGTTTATATTCTTTATTTTGTTGTATTCTGTCATGAATGTTCCATCAATACATTTATCATACGTTTGTAATGCATGGTTTTTCATTGGACAATCATGGCTTTTACCGTCTGTGTAACAATGATGCATGCGACATCATAGACCGTCAGCTACGCATTGCTACATGCAAGAAATAACTGGGTAAATCTGAACTTTTGGGTATGCATGTGTCCTTTTTGTTATTTGTAACTGTTATTGTTATACGACAGTTTAATGACTTTCGGCACATTATTAGGTCCAGACAATTGACGTCAATGTCTGCTCGAGATATAAACGACACTCAATAAAATCATTTCATCAAATATGTAAAAAAGATTTTTGCCGAATTTTCAAAAAATTGTCCAATCGCAAGTTAAGCTGGTATATATTATACTAAAACATGTATGCACATATATGGTTCACAGATAAAATATATTTAAAACATCTGAATGAAATACAAATGGAGTACTGGTCCATGTCACAAATTCATTATGTCATGTATGTAAACACGGACCAAACCTTAGTCACATATATTGAAACCGTCACCCCGGCAGACTGAAATGTATTCTATAACTGAATAACTTCATTAAATCTGTAAGCAAATGTTCTGAATTCATGTTCCAAATTCAAAGGAGGACACCATGCACAATTCAAACAACAAATACGAATTAAATCACCTAACGCAGATCACGTTCTTAAAATGGCACTTTCTAAAATTGTTTTAAAGTCATTAATAAGGTCAGTCACCTGTTTGGCTTGTATTTCATTAGCCTTTATTATTTTCATTAAAGATGATTTATTATGCATGACCACACATATTGTAAATTAGAGTACATCTATGTTTTGATGAAGCTATAACCATTGAAGTAAAACTGAGGCAAGTATTCCGACAAGCTTGGTGGGTCTACTAAAGTGCCTGTTGGTGTCTGAAACAATGCTGTTGTCCCCCCACCCTATTTTAACTTTGAAGTAAATATCTTTAACAGTTATTGGAAAGGCAAAAATAAAATCATTGAGCAAAATAGGCTTTCATGACTCCTACCGCTTAGAAATGCTTTGGAGAAATGTACCATACTCATAAGGTTAACCAAGAAATTTAATGACAAAAAAGGGGCATAATTAAGCTAAAATAAATTATATGGTAACCTGTCCTGAAGAAATGCATCCAAATTTAAAAGTTTTCCAAGTTTTGCAAATTAGCTTTCACAGTCTGAGAAATTGACCTCATTTCAAAAAATAAATAGACAAGAACCGGTTGAACCGGGTGATGCTCCTGGAAAAGGTTTTGGATACAGAAAAGAATACCTCTTGTAGTGTCCGAGTTATGTCCCGGACAAGTGTAAAAATGAACAAAGGGCAATTACTTCAAAATTAGGCAATTACTTAAAAACAAGAGGGCAATGATGGCCCTAAGGTCGCTCACCTGTATATAGGCCCCCGCGCGGGCCAGTTTAAACCCCAGGGCTTTTATTTGAACAAACTTGGAAGACACCCATTAGAAGATGTTTCATGATGTTAAGTTTTTACTACACACATATAATGAAAAACAATGACCAACCCCCCCCCCCTCACCCGCAGGGCCAATTTTAACCCAAGGGCTTTTATGACTTGGTAGACACTCAAAAGAAGATGTTTCATGCTAAACATCTAAGCTCTAGCTCATTGCGTTTTTTAAAAGAAGATTTTTAAGTTTTTACTGTACACATATAGTTAAAAACAATGACACCCCTGGGGCGGGGCCAGTTTTGACCCAAGGGCTTTTATTTGAACAAACTTTGTAGACACTCACTAGAAGATTTTTCATGCTTAATATCTAAACTCTAGCTCTTTAGGTTTTTTCAAAGAAGATTTTTTAAGTTTTTGCTATACACATATAAGAAAAATCAATGACCCCCTGGGGCGGGGCCAATTTTAACCACAGGGCTTTTATTTGAACAGACTTGGTAGACACTCATTAGAAGATGTTTCATGCTAAATATCTTAGCTCTAGCTCTTAGGGTTCTTTAAAAGAAGATTTTTTAAGTGTTTACTTTGTGCATATAGGGAAAATCAATGACCTCCTGGGGCGGGGCCAATTTTGACCCCAGGCCTTTTATTTTAACAAACTTGGTAGACACTCACTAGAAGATGTTTCATGCCAAATATCTAAGCTCTAGCTCTTTGGGTTTTTTAAAAGAAGATATTTAAAGTTTTTCTTTCGGTTGCCATGGCAACCCGAGTTCTGCATGGAATTAAATTCTTTGAAGAATTTTTAAAGGTGACCACCAAAGGAACATTCCTGTGAAGTTTGGATGAAATTGGCTTAGTGGTTTATGAGGAGATGTCATTTAAAGTAAAAGTTTACGGACGGACGCCGGACGAAAAGCGATCACAAAAGCTCACCCTGTCACTTTGTGACAGGTGAGCTAAAAAAAAAGAAATGCATAGTACTGGTTCTTGTGCACTGCACTTCTTTTTAATGAGATCTATCAACCTATGAAGTTTCAACTCAATAGCTTTTACAATTTAAGAGAAATGGCCCATGTAAAAATTAGAGTATTAACGATTAACGATTCTTGTGCACTGCACTTCTGGTTATTGCAAGAAGCATGCATACCAAAGTTTGAGTCAATCCGACTTATAGTGACTGAGTCATGCTCTGGACAAGCCTTAGGGGACACCGCCGCCGCCAACAACGACAAAAGTAACCCCTATATGTCGCCTTTTCAAGGCCACACAAAAATGTTTCAGGATTATTTGCCCTTTAGAATTGGTGTCCTTTCAAGACAATAATCATGTATACCGAGTTTGAAGTGAAAAGCTGTTATAGTTTCTGAGAAAACAGACCTTAAAGGTTAACCAATGCTGATGCTTACAAAAGGGACATGATAAAAGCTCAGCTCTTTTTTCCTCAAAAAGTGGAGATAAAAAAAACAAATAAACAAACAACGATACATTCACTTTTATAAGTCACACTCATTTTGTTTATAATATTTCTGAACACAAATGCTTCAAACTTAAAAATACAATTTGAATTTACTGATGATGTAAATGATGATACAGATGTATTATAATTTGGTACACATTTCAAAAAGTCTCTCGCACATGTAACATACATCATGTTATTTTCAGTCACACATGAATTGAAACAGTCATTACCAAACACAGATTATGGTTATTTTTTTTCACATGAAAAGAATGGGGAAAAATGATAATTTCAATGGAAATGTCCATGAATGTTTCTTTTTAAAGAATGAACATGTTGCAAAACAATAAATGAAAAATCCTTGTTACTTTTTTATATAATTTCAATGATGAGAATTGTTTTGATTGCCGACACTTTGTAAAACATTATTATGCCATATTCCAGAAACTACTACAGGCAGGTCGACAATGTTAACATCTATATATAGATCCAAGATTATTCCCTATATTTCATGTGTATTTGTTACATATAATAACAAATTCAAGCACTGGAAGTATCCTTAGATATGAGCATGGTTATATGTTATCAGACAATATCATAAAAATACCATATAATGGTAAATAAGTTTCATAACCTAACACAGTTGAACATATTTCTAAAAATAATACACGTATGTCTATGAGCATAGCAAAATGGACATAGATATGATTTTTGAAAGCGTGATTTGTAGCTTGGTACTTCAAAATTAGTTATTCAGATACTTCTTATATAATTTCCGAAGCGTCTCGACATAGTCTCGTCTATGTGGTAATATCTCCAAACTGTGTAGTATTATGATTTATTACACTCTTGTCAAGTTTTCAAAATATATGTACAAAATGTCAACCATATAGAAATATCTGTACACAATGTCAACATGGAATTACTAACATCAACTTTTCTTCAATGTCTTCCTGATTAAAGCCATTCTCTGAAAAAATAAGATTACATAACTGGTTAACATTTTATAAATAAAGTATATTATTTGTTATAAAGATATTTGACAGATTTTATGGCCCTATCTAAATGGTTGTTTGCAAATATAACCCAAGCCCAGCTGCTATGCAAATAATCATTTGAGCCACGTCACAACAAAACCAACACAATGGGTTTGCGACCAGCATGGATCCAGACCAGACTGCGCTTCCGCGCAGTCTGATCAGGATCCATGCTGTTCGCTATCAGTTTCTCTACTTGTAATAGGGTTTGTAAGCGAACAGCATGGATCCTGATCAGACTCCGCGGAGGCGCAGGCTGGTCTGGATCCATGCTGGTCGCATACACATTATGTTGGTTTTGTCGTGACGCCGCTCATTTATATATGACCATATAACACAACAGGAATCTTAATCACAGATTTATATAATACAGTTATCTTCCTTTTTATAGGAAAAAATGAGTTTTCTTCATAACTTGACAGCAGCTGTGCATATCAAAAATATCTATAACATCACGATTATCCAATGAAAAGTGACATTACAAACATGCAGTATTTTAAGTCAAAATATAATCCCTTTTTTATAACATGTATATACATATTCAAAGGTAAGATAATTCCAATTTTCAGTTAAACTTATAATCATAAATAAGCATACTAGTTCAGTCAGGTAGGTTGTATTACCTAACAATGTTTCTAGACACTTTTCTTGTTTTACA